TATGGGGTGTGTGGATGGAACTGTGGGTGGCGCATCGCAAGCCACCCGTGGTCCCTCTGTAGGCACAGGTGTCCTGTGGCTGGCCACAGCGACAGGCAAGTCCGTAAACGGATGCCGCCAACCGTATCCATAGCCGACTTTGTTATTTTGATTTCGGTAGAAAAGGTAAAAGAGCTCAGCAGCACGACGGTATGCAGTATCGACGCTACGATGTTGCGCAACCACCAACAGTCGAGAGTGAGTCGCTTGGTCCTCTACGTAAGCTCGAATCAGTGTCCTCGGATTACAAGACAGGAATGTGATTCTTTAGGCTATGGACCAGTAAAAACGCGTTCGCAGAATGCTTTCAAAGATTTTTTCGATTACAGTAGGTTTACCAGTGGTAAACGAGATGCCTTGTATTGGTTAACTCAAGGCGAATGGGACAAGTAGGCGAGTGAGTGGCTCCGTTCTGATCAAACCAAGATGTGTCTGTAGCTCTACTATGTACGCACAAGTAAATCTTCTCTCAACAAACCGCTTTCCATGCTTACATATCGGCTGGAGCAGAGAATCGATTCGATAAAGCAAGATAACTTCAAAAATAGGCACGGCAAGGGGCTTGATACCCTTCAACTGTCCAAATCTAGACCAAAGGCTTCGGCAAGCGACTTAGAAGTAAGAAATGTCGGCTATGAGTTTATGATGCAATGCGCAAGTTGAGCCATAGGTCGCTGCTAAGTGGTGGGCCTTTACAATACGGAGTATGATTACCTACACCAGAGGAAAACCATCCGGTAAACAGGTGAGAGACAAGGGGGAAGCATTTATGGACAATGACAGTCATTGGGATTCACATTGAGATTGAAAATGAATCGTGAGATGATCACATGGAGGAAACTTAGGAAGACCGTAGTCGTCTATACAATCGAGGAATGATGGATTAGGTGGAATGGGGTTCGACTGTCACAGACATGCCTGAGCTGAACTCGCCATTCTCCTCAAGGCCGCTTGAATTTCTAGGTGTGGAAGATGCAGGTGACACGGATCGTTCTCGATCGCTTGCTGAAGCTGAGGTCGGTGTGTGGTCACGCTGTCTAGAAGGAGTGCCAATTGGTTCACAGGAGAATGAGGTGCGAATTGCTGGGGAGCTGGCAACGTTGGAAGGCACTGGAGTTTTGACCCACGTTCGGCGGGGAGGATTGAAGTGGGAACAGTAACCGCATCGAAAAGCTGAAAAAGAGAACCAGGGAAGTAGAGGATGAAGCTAAGTTCACAAGAAACTTGAGTCGACGATAATATTTCTCTCAATTACCAGTCATGACTTGACATTTTAAGTTCTTATTCGATTTTCCCCCTTCGACTATCAATATGTGGATTAAGTAAAGCTAGTCCACCGCATTTCGCTCCGCGTATAACAACTGAGCACAAAAAGGGGCAAGAATCTGGACACGATACTGAAGTGGTAACGCACACAAACAAAGAGCAGAGAATCACTTCAAAACGAATCGTGGACCAGATGAGGACTGCGCGTTGCAATCCACTTTCCCTCGAGTGTTCAAAAATGACCCCCCACTTAACATAATCTCCTTAAACAAAGCCAGATAGTCACCTTGTTCGAGAACAATTCTACATCGACTGGTTCAACAAGGACAAAACCTGAGTGGATCTAGTGCGGCTTCCATTTAATGTGGCAAGGGGAACGATACGCTGTGGTATGTGTTACGCGTTCTTAATGTTCAGAGCAAGGTTGTAAAACTGGATTGATATGTCAACGAGTTTCACACTTGTCGGACAACCAGAGCAGAACGCCGAACCCAACGCACGCACGTGTGGTTTCAGATAGATGCCTATGAGATGACGCAAAATGGGTCCATAGGTCCAATCCACGAAGCACTTGTTCAATCAGGTCTATCTAACGGCTCTTGTGTTGCTGTGGAGACTGAGAAAGGGAAAATAGAAAGGGTTTCCAACCTCGCTACTTCCACCAGCCTTTCCTGACACTTTAAGACTCTTGCGCATGCAGGAGCTGCGAAGTGCAAGTAAATTTGTGTCATAAATAAATATCCCATTCTCAAAATCTACCATTTGTGGGTACACCCAATTGTAAGCGGGGATGCTGAACACAAAGGGTGTCAAACATACCGTAATTAAACCTTTGCGGAGTTGCACCTTAGATTATCACTTCAGATCTTGTCCTGACATGGGAAAAGTTTGCTCGGTCAAACCTAACAGGAACCGACCGTCATGCATTTAATCGCCAGCCACACATAGTCCACAGACAATCGGGGAATATAGGTCCAGCGATATCCCTGTTTGTTGCATCAATGAGCGCCTGAAGAAAACTCGATGCGTTCTCTCTAAATTGAATCCGTCCAATCGGCACGCTGTGTAGGAGCGCAAGCATCCATGAAATTGCGCGTAAGCTGTGTCACAGTTGTCTCCTTACCCCTTTTGTCGGGCCGCATGTGAACTGGAGACTCGACTGCAAACGTCCTCGTCTGACGGCCACTCTCGCGCGGAGACTCATCCGACCTCATTATCCAAAGCACAGATAACCTGACTCCGATATGACTACGAAGGTCAGTGTGAGAACAATAAGCGCCGACCTCACCAGTGTAGGGCGAGGCTGTTCACAAAGTGCACACACACACACACACAGCAGTCAGGCTATGACTGGGCGAAGTGGTGAAATTCTTGCCATTTATTTATCGGATCACTGGCTGGGCGATGGATCACGAGCATATACCGCTGTCATGAAGTTACCCTCAATACGAATCGCGTTACGCGCCTGTTAATCAGCGAGTGAGTACTTTTCGTCTGTATGGTGAGTGCGGTTATAACACTGAGCAAACTGCCCGACAACACAACACTATCCACAGTGCCAAGCGGCCAATCAACGTACGGTACGTTCGTAAGCTGGTGAGATCATTTGAGAAAACTGGGAGTGTGTTCGACGCCAAAAAGACAGCGCGGCCTCACATCACCACGGCTGGCTTTTCTGCTTGTGTGGTTAATCGTGAGGTATCCAGAATCCTCGATCTGAGCATTCGTAAACTCGCCCAGCATTGCGACACCACCAGACATGCTGTCCATAGGATTTTGAAGGAAAGGAAATTCCGGATGTAAAGCGCTCGTCAAATGCAAGTTTTAAACCCATGTGATTCGGAGAACAGGCTTGACTTTTGCCGCAGTTTTTTAAATGTCACAGACTTCCACACAATTCCGTTTTCCGTATGCACGGTGCGGAGAAGCCACAATTTTGGGCAACGTGTAATCCACGCCGATGCAGCGCTTCACGAATACAACATGACGCAGCGCTCATGGTATGGGCTGCGTTAACTTGCCAAAAGCTAGTGGGACTATGTTTTTTCCCTTTAATGTGACCGGTAGATTGTTGTTTCGCATTACGAGTGCCATACCCTTTCTAGCATCCTCGTACAAGGAAATACTGGAAAATTTTGTCATTCCGTAACTGGAAGCCGCTAAGTTATTAAGTACCGTTTGGTTGCAAGCAGATGACGCACCTGCACACTGTGCACAAACGGTGTGGGATTTTCTCAACCAGGCGTTCCCTTTCCGTTGGATCTGGCGGGGAGGACTTATAGAGTGGTCTGCTCGGTTACCAGATTTGAACCCATTGCATTTCTTCCTCCGGGGTTAGTTGAAATAGCAAGTTTACAAAACGAAGCGAAACTATTGAGGATTTGAAGCAGAGCATTTTGCACGAATATCGCGGGATCACAGCTGTGCTTTGGAGCAAGTGCTAGCAAACAGCATCAGGTGAATGCTGTAAGGTATGAAAAACGCCGGCGGGCGCTTCGAACATCAACTTCGCTGACAAATCTGCGCATTACGTTGATAATCTGTAAATATATGTATCTTGCAATGATTTGTCGACTAAATCCGTGGGCTGACTAATGCTCGCTTTTCCCTAGGAACGTTGGTTGATGGTTTCTCCTTGGGTTTTACGTGTCATGTTATAAATAGCTCGGGATATCCGTTCTCCCGTAGGTCGCCCCCAACTTGAAACCTTTTCCCTAGGGTTCGGTTTCTCTATCCCGCCAAATCCATATGGTCGAATAGCAGTCAAGGTTCAGTTTGCACAGTTGAATGAACATCTGCCCAGTTTAACACAGACTAATGAAGAGACAAGCGGTGGCATTACAACAACGAGGATAGACCTTGCCAAATAGTTCTGCGCTAGTGACACCGAGAAGTGACTTAGCATGGCGAAGAATCATTAAGCGTCCTTAACGCAATAGCTATGCAATTAAAAGGTTGTAATACTGAGACAAGGTATGAGATCAAGTGTCGTCATAACGGACAAACAGAGCTACATCCAGAAAATGCAAAAAAATTTCTAGCGGACTCTAGTCGATTCCTTTGTGATGTGACAGGCAGCGATAATACCGAACAGGTTATGAAATCAAAAGTTCGTGAACTAAAGACCCTAACGACGGTGGGATGGAATACCGAAAAAACTTTGACACGGCCGATCACTCGAGCATCTCGGCTTCCTTATTTGTAAGAACTGCCGAAAACCTACAAGGAAGGCATTCCCTTACAACCAATTGTTTCAACGGTAGGCGCATTGTACCAGAAGTTTAGGGAACTGAATGCAATATCCCAAACCGTTTTGATGGTGGACGATGCAGGTGCATAAACGACTGAATTTGTAAGGGCGTTTCAGGGGGTTGGTTAACCCGAAGGGAGAAGTAAGATTGTGGACAGTCTAAACGACTGTAGTAGTGGCTTAATTTTAAGCTGTTAACTCTCAAGATAATGTTTCGGTTGAGCTTCACAAGGTGTCGGCATACATGACTGCGATCACCCAGTAATTGGTATACGGGTCTCCCCGCTTCGTCCACTGAGCAATCCGAGTCTCTGCGTTCGTTCGGTTACGGAAGGTGCAGCAAGCACTTGGCAATCTTCCATGCCCTGCGTCTTTCGAGCGTAGCGAGGTGATGCTTTAACCAGGGTTGCCAAGCCTGGATAGCTTATTCGACTTGGGACGTACGTAGGCGTCTAGCACCAGGGAGAAGATGGATGTATCTAAACTGTCGAGTACCCTTCGCATAAGACTACCATGCTGGTAGCCACTTGGTACATCAAACTCTGACTGTCTGGAACAAAAACGAATGGTTAAAACGAGATGATATGTTTCTTATTCTTGAAATACCAAATCAGTTAGGCATAACATGGTTTTCTACATGCCTGGTTAGGTGCGACTTTCTAACTGAACGTTCTTAAACACACAGCATTGACTGCTGATGCTGAAAAGTCCGTTGTAACTATACATCTCGATATGCGTAAACCATTTCACTAAGCTCAAAACATTAGATTGAGAACGTGTTACAATTTGCTGGCATCTTGTAATTGATTGTATCTACCGACCTCCCCGAGCAACCCACCATGAAACCTAGCTGCGAATGGATGCTATCAACAGAGTTTCTAGCACTACCTACAAGTTCAAACTTATGTACGAAGATTTCAATGCGCCACACGTTCCCATAATTTAACATGGCTTAATGTTTATATAGTAGCATTACGATAATGTTGTTTCTGTAATAAGATGCCCTAAGTTTCTTCAGTTTGCCTTCGGCCTCGTTCAGTGGTGTGTTTGTCGCATTGTCTATAAGCGCGGCTCCTTATCACAAGTGCCAATACATGCAGCAACGTTGTTGACAAAGTCACCGGCAGCGATAGTCGGGTTGTTGGTTCAAAAGGTTGGCTCCAAATTCATAATGTAGATAAATACCTTAAATGCATTCCAGTCAATTCGTTGAATGTTATGTGTGGGTTACATTTTTGCGCTGGAGTGACTTAGTTTGTTCAATGTTCACGATACCAAACGCCTAGCTGTGATCGTAGCCCGGTAGTGGACTGTCAATGAGCGCACGAGTGCAATGGATCCTCATGGTGGTGAATACTAAATCTAGAGTATTGGCATTTCCGGTGGGCCCTCTGACATATGCGATGCAGCCATTTCGCCTAGTCCCGTTTAGATTGTAAGTTCACGCAGTAGCCAGTTAACTTGTGGCGATTTGCAATCCTCGCACATAAGTTTGGACTTGTAGGTAGTGCTAGAAACTCTGTTGATAGTATCCATTCGCAGCTAGGTTTCATGGTGGGTTGATCGGGGAGGTCGGTAGATACAATCAATTACAAGATGCCAAAATATGCAACACGTTTTCAATCTAACCACTTGAACTTGGTGAAATGGTTTACGCATATCGAGATATATACTTACGACAAACTTTTCAGCATCAGCAGCCACGGTTGTGTGTTTAAGAATGTTCAATCAGAAAGACGCACCTAACCAGGCATGTAGAAAACCATGTTGTGCCTAACTGATTAGATATTCCGAGAACAAGAAACCTATCATCTCGTTTTAACCATTCGTTTTTATTCCAGACAGTCAGAGTTCGATGTAACAAGAGGCTACCAGTATGTTAATCTCATGAGAAGGGTACTCGACAGTCTAGATTCATCCATCTTCTCCCTGGTGCTGAACGCCAGATCCAAGGGAAAGGGAACGTCTGGTTGAGAAAATCCCACACCGTTTGTGCAGTGTGCAGGTGCGTCATCTGCTTGCAACCAAACGGTACTTAATAACTTAGCGGCTTCCAGTTACGGAATGACAAAATTTTCCAGTATTTCCTTGTACGAGGATGCTAGAAAGGGTATGGCACTCGTAATGCGAAACAACAATCTACCGGTCACATTAAAGGGAAAAAACATAGTCCCACTAGCTTTTGGCAAGTTAACGCAGCCCATACCATGAGCGTTGCGTCATGTTGTATTCGTGAAGCGCTGCATCGGCGTGGATTACACGTTGCCCAAAATTGTGGCTTCTCCGCACCGTGCATACGGAAAACAGAATTGTGTGGAAGTCTGTGACATTCAAAAAACTGCGGCAAAAGTCAAGCCTCTTCTCCGAATCACATGGGTTTAAAACTTGCACTTGACGAGCGCTTTACATCCGGAATTTCCTTTCCTTCAAAATCCTATGGACAGCATGTCTGGTGGTGTCGCAATGCTGGGCGAGTTTACGAATGCTCAGATCGAGGATTCTGGATACCTCACGATTAACCACACAAGCAGAAAAGCCAGCCGTGGTGATGTGAGGCCGCGCTGTCTTTTTGGCGTCGAACACACTCCCAGTTTTCTCAAATGATCTCATCAGCTTACGAACGTACCGTACGTTGATTGGCCGCTTGGCACTGTGGATAGTGTTGTGTTCTCGAGCAGTTTGTTCAGTGGTACAACCGCACTCACCATACAGATGAAAAGTACTCACTCGCTGATTAACAGGCACGTAACGCGATTCGTATTGAGGGTAACTTCATGACAGCGGTATATGCTCGTGATCCATCGCCCAGCCAGTGATCCGATAAATAAATGGCAAGAATTTCACCATTTCGCCCAGTTATAGCCTGACTGCTCTGTGTGTGTGTGTGTGCACTTTGTGAACAGCCTCGCCTTACACTGGTGAGGTCGGCGCTTGTTGTTCTCACACTGACCTCCGTAGTCGTATCGGAGTCAGGTTATCTGTGCTTTGGATAATGAGGTCGGATGAGTCGCCGCGCGAGAGTGGCCGTCAGACGAGGACGTTTGCAGTCGAGTCTCCAGTTCACATGCGGTGCGACAAAAGGGGTAAAGAGACAACTGTGACACAGCTTACGCGCAATTTCATGGATGCTTGCGCTCCTACACAGCGTGCCGATTGGACGGATTCAGTTTGGAGAGAACGCATTGAGTTTTCATTAGGTGCTCATTGATGCAACAAACTGGGATGCCGCTGGACCTATATTTCCGGACTGCCTGTAGGGCACGTAGCCATAGATTAGCTGTGTTACTTTTGTAAATGTCATCCGCAAACAAACAGATTTGGCACATGCTACAGTAGCTCTCGCCTTAGGATGACAAAGTAATTCGACAACACACTGGGGAAATGTTGTTGGGCGTGCTGAAATGACGATTCTATGTGTAGTCGAGAACGCTAGAGTAGATGTGCGGGAAAGAAGGAGCAAGACAGTCTTTAAAAGTGGCAACCATCGACGGATACTGTATGGTTTTTTCCTTATTAATTGAGGACATAGTATGCAACACCGCAGAATCGCTGCGTGGATCAGAAATATAGGTAGTATCGTTGAAAAATATTAGAGCCTGACAATGCACCATAAGCGGAGTATGTGGGTTCAGTGCAGCTACGTCAAACAAACATGCTCGGGGCATTGAAGTGCAGTGGATATAGTTGTCACAACTCGCGTCTTTAGGATAACAATCAACAACGACAGTGAGATAAATGAAACAAAGTAGCGAGGACATAAAGAAAAAGGATTTTGGAAAAGGAGTAAAATTTTTAAGAGGGAATATTAGCACTTAGATGCAATACACCGAGGGCAACGTTACCATGTCTGATTGAGAGTCCAACTACTGGCGTAGACCATACTGAGAGCCACATGTATGAAGATAGCACGGCCAGTTTCTGCATACCTTTATGCCACATGATGGACCGACCATCTCGCGTCTTCGCCCAATTTGGTGCATCCACAGCGTATAATGTACGACGTGGAAGGCAGTCAACGGACCTACCGAGAACATGAGCTACCAAACATAAGCGGTTGAGTTTCAGCAAAAACTTGAGCGAGGTATCTAAAGGCTTCTTGCCAGCAGTGTTCCCATCAGATGTGAGCAATACTCTGTAAGCACTAATAATCAAAGGTGATCAACTCATATTTTAGTGGGAAGTGGCAAGGTCCCTGATCCATACAGTAACATTGGCCAATATCGAAGCGTTACACACATAAACATTGACAGATAGGCTGCTGCCCAACCGGAGTATATGAAGAACCATTCGTCGCCGTCGGTGCTCACGAGCGAGCAACGTTGAGGTCTACCAATCGGTGATATATTGTAGCAAACGTACCGATGCCGTGTTGGAGTGCTCGCAGTTGAACAATCCAGATCAGGTGGGTCACATACGCAGGATGGCTGTCAACTGGTCCCTTCGGTGTGCATGTGATTCGCTGATGATGGTAGACAACGGGCCCACTGGGTTGGGTAACTCGTGTGGTAGAGGATTAACAAAACATCATCATCCGTACACGTTAGCCGAGGGTGAGAAACACACCGCAGTTAATGAATCGCATCAATGTAACGACGTATTTCTGACAGGAAACGAAACGTATGAGGCAAGCCGGGATTCTACAGGCGGCTATACAATTGTTGTGTCATCTACCAAATATTGTACAAACACTACAAGGCTATGTAGGATCCCGTGACATCCAATGAGATACCATAACATGTTTCACTAAATCAACGGAATCTCCAAAACTAACGGAGCCTGAGTAGGAAATTCGACTGACAAATAGGACTACAGACAAACTTCGAGAGACAGATGTGATGGGGTCTTTTGGTCTCCAGATGTTGACCGAATTCTCAGTACTTTCTAGACATGACATTAGTGAGTGAATCAGCCCCCATACTGAGATTGCTTCGAATATGTCAGCAACAACGGCATACATTCCAATGGAAGTTAACGTTGTCGGGTGAAGTTATGATTGGTTATAATTATAATTATTATATTTATGCAACAGTCATAAAACAGACAAATGCGTCATCAGAGCCAAGGGAGGAAAGGTAGGGGAAAACTTTTTCAAAAAAGAAAACGGTGACACGAAAGAGAGGGGGTCCATTTTCAATGTTTTATACATGCCGAGCTTGTTTTTTCTTTGGTGTTTCGTTTAGAAGTTAACATTAAAAAACGGGGACGGTGGAACAGCATTGGCATCGCTCAGTTCTGTTGGGAGTCATAAGATCCAAGATCTCTAACAAATGGGACACGACCATAACCTACTGATACTTGGAATAAACGAACCTTGAAAACTACATTTTTTCCTTCGATTGACTTAAAAAGTCTAGACAATCAGCAAGAAAGCATGCCATGACCCTCATTTTCGATCAAGTCCTGTGTTCTCTACAGAGTACACATTCCGAGCTGACAGCGTCATTGTCTGGAGAGCTTCCAAATACCACCAGAGACATGATGGACAAAGCGTACTTATCCCACAGGGTTGTACACTCACCGAGGTACTCGAATTCCTCATGCAATGCCATTCCGTTGTGAGCCGCGCATTCCCGACAAATCAAAGCATATCTTTTGTCAGGTCCATCGCCAACGAGAAGATCGAGGATCCGATCAAAGAAGGAGCGTTCACGAGGTAGCAATGGTCGCAAGAGACGGGGTTTGACGGGCTGATCACGGTTTTCCATCAGATGAGCTCTAGCAGTAGATGGATCTGGACCCAAATTGTCTAGTTACATGAGCAAAACAAGGGGATAGAGAGAAGAACAAGAAGTTACAAAGGCGAATCACAATAGCCGATCAGTTGACATACAACAATGGAAATTGCTCAAAGTGGACAATTAAAACAACGATCAGAAACGAAAGGCACTTCAAATACGAAAGTACGCATGTGCTGTGGTAATAGCTAGTCTCTTAAGCAAAGCGGAGGAGCCGGACATATCCATGCGGGCCAATCACGGGCTGCGACTGCAGGCGAGTATGCTACCGGATAGCCGCTTGAGCGAAAGGAAGTTAGAAGCATATGGCGAATTGGACAATCAGGCGCGCGCGACAAGCCAGAGCAAGGAAGCGCGGTTGGCTCACTGGCGGAGCGGTTTAGCCGGGACACCCAGCCACCGACGACGTAGGAAGGACAGACCAGACATACAAAGCGGAGCTGCTGTACCTAGTCGTGGCTCAAGGCGAATAACGGAAGACGGAGCAGAAGCCGATAGATAGTACGAAAGTTGCAGCGGCCATTGTCGGCAGACAGCCATTCCCCATTTGTGTACAGTATAAAACGCCCTGGTTCATCAATAACAGACTATGATCGCTGTCCAGACTTTATTTTGACTCTCGGAGGGCGCTACACGACGTGCGATTCCCGGAAGTCTCTCACTGACGTACACAATGAGAGTGAAAATCTTGAAATAGTGCTACAATATTCGTCGTAGCAAAACCCATTCAGAAAGTTAACGTAGCACATCCGGAAAAACGCTGGGTGACCAAATCAGTTAAGTTCAGCGCTTTAGCAATTCATGTTAGATTCGGACCCTCGATCATTTATGTACGAGACAGCGAATGAAGCCAGCGGATAACGAGAGAAGACGACCATCAGCTGTCATAGAAAACCAGAAGCAGCCGGAATGTATGCGTCATACCTGTGCTTACAGAAAAGGACATTTCCGGACGATATGGATCTGGCGGACAATGGTTCGATAGAGGTCATGGAAACACGAAGAACCACTAGTATGTGCGGATTTTTTCCTCAGCGACGAAATGGGAAGGAATCGGGGACGATGAAGAGGGTATAAATCGAATAAATGCGTAATGGGCTGGTGTATAATTACTTGGAAGGACATTATCGGGAAAGAAAGGAAGACAGGAATGTAAACGATGTTTGGTACGACGAATGCTGTGATTGGTGAACCAAATGGCGGTAGATCCAGTTACTATGCTCTAAGTCGTAATGACAATAATGCTTAAAGAAGGGGAAATAAGATGAGAAAAAACAGATGAACAAAATGGTAGCAGAGATGGTGCTATAATCATCAGATAGGAGAGCCAATAGGCAGAAGAAGGAAGAAGAGGACAGGAGCCCAACATTGTGTAGATGACAGAGCTATGAACCACTTATGAGGTGTGGGAAATTCGAAATCAGAAAGATGAATTGCTTCAACACCAGTTCATATTAAGATTCATCGCAGGAAAACGCTAGACGGCTGTTTCGTCCTATTGGGACTCGCCAGCAGTGTGCACTCGCCGAATCCTGCTGGATTCGAACCCATGACCTTACTTTCACGAGCCAGTGAACTATGCCACTGAGCCATGGATTCCAATCCAGCAGGATTCGGCAGGTGGGTGCTACTGACTAGTCCCAATAAAACGAAACGGCTGTCTAGCACTTTCCTGGATATGTGGTGGCTGTCTGACTGAGTTTAGCTGCGATAAATTAACGCAAAAAATTCTCCTATTATTCACTAATAACTTTTGAGCTGTTTCCTCGTTTTCCTTACACGCTCACGTCATGTCGCATGTTGAGCAACATGTATTTATGCGGAAGCCAAACGAGACCCTGATAAATTATACTAGTCGAAGCAAGTGGACAAGTGAGATCGGAATTACGTGACGCAACCAGGGTGAACGATTCGGATCCACAAGGTGATCCAGTTCGCAGCTCGAGGAAATTTGACTTCAGATACCCAAAGGCGAACCTTAGTAAATACTCACCCGGTGCACCCACCAGACATGAGCGATACCTTGCAGACGTCAGTGGCCAAACACGCGTTGCGACCGTGTCGCTGATAGTTACGCTGACAACGGCTGTGCTGAACGGATGTGCACTCAGCCCTTAGTCAATCAGTCAATGAAACACCAGAAGCCTGGACGGCCTTATTGAAACGCGCAGTAGGGATCGAATGAGTGGAGTAAGGAGCAGAGACGAGTGGGTCAACCAACCATTTGTAGCAGCGCTTTAGTGACAGGGAGAACTAGTGGAGCATAGGTCGCTAATCTTGTCACAGTGCATTACATCTTGAAGCATAAATATCGAAACGCAAAACGCCATGAAAAAGACTTTACAACAGCATTTGTGTAACTAAGGGGTCCGACTACAACAGTGCTACTGCAGACTGCGAAGTTCAAAAGCAAATCGGTCAGGGTAGAGGGGTTCCGGAGAAATTCGACTGCAAATTTGAAAGCGCATAGGGAAAGAGAGTAGTCTAACTGAACACAACTTGAGGCCTCTTGAAGACTCCTGAGGGGCGTTCAAATTTGGATATAGTATAGAGTGGAAAAGAAAGTACCAGGCCAAGATGTACCTGACACATGTACCACATCGCAGGGCCATACCTGTACTGGTGGTTGTGTTGTGTTATAGCACGCGACATGCCAAATTTGTATGCGAACATTTCAAGTGCTGACAACGTGCCCATCCCGACCGATATCACAGCTAGTACCGTTGGCTCCAGGAAACTGTCCAATGGGTGGCCGCATTATTTTAATTGAACATTCGGCCGTCTCCATTTGTCAGTGTTCTCAATTTGTCAATCACTCTAATACATTCATTTTCAGTTTACCAAAAATTCGCTTGTAAACCGCATGGAAAAACGCGCAGTCATCCGTTTTACGCGATTTCGATGTACCTGTATGACCAGACTGCTGATGAAGTTGTTGGCGTCAGTGATAAATATGGTTGGCGGCATCCGGTTTCGGATTTGCCTGTCAATGTGTCCAGCCACAGGACGCCTGCGCCTACAGAGGGACCATGGATGGCTTGCGCTGCACCACCCACAGCTCCATCCACACACCCCCATATCCAGCCTAAACCCGAAGGAATAAGACCGGGAGGCATGCGGATGGGAGCCAGGTTTCATCAACGGAGCCGGCCCACACTCCTTCACAGGCAAACACAAGCATGCTGTATTTGGGGAATCAAGTGCACACAAGGCGGTGGCTGGACTGTAGTCCGCTCCACAGTGAGTGCATGGAACCGCTCTTGGAGCCTAACACGGTCCCAAGGACCGTGCACTCCGTCCTTTCCAACAACGACCAACTGTCTCCTGGAGCCAGTATGGACGAGGTAGTGGGTAATAGACAGGTAGGCACCTTGTCAACATGCACATCAAGCGCAGCCACACCGGGGATATCAAGCAACAGCCAATCACCTGGAACGACAAGATGAAATAAAGCAAATCCAATAATGCATACAGATACGGTGGCATAACTCTTCGCTAAATTACCATATGAAGTAAGTTGGTTAGCAATGAATCCGCGATAAGTAAAAAATGTCAACAAGTCACTTAAAAATGCTACAAACGCAACAAAATTACTGTAGATAAGCGCAATTAGCGTAAGCAATGTGGCCAGTTAAGAGATTATTCAGGTAGGCAGAACAAACCAAATAAAGTGTAATTAAATTTATCCAGTTTAAAAAGACCTAGTTAAGTGTAAGTTGGTTTAGCTCAACTGCGGTGAAGAAGCATCAAGAATGCAACATCAGCCTCAGAATGGGGCATGCGCGCCATCTTATGTTGAGTAAAACAGAGCCAAAGTTTATTCACAATATCCCAACCATATTCTGGTCGATTCATTCGATCCTGCCGAATGTGATTAACTTTCCACCTGTTAGCTTCGACTGCTCAGCTTGCTTAGCCAAGCAGCTGATATCACATCCTGCGCCATCCGCATCGGGACAGAGTTGCAAGTTGGATCAAAAGCGCAACTGATTAACGATACAGCAGTGAAGTTTCTCACTGTCCTCTCGATGCGTGTAAGTATGGTCAACTTGCGCACGCGGCGATGATTGGCTCCCTAGTCCACCGGCTGCACGTCGGTTTCGCACGCGTAAGCTACCATTCACCACATCACTGGTGTGACTGGTTCA